AAATTTATATACTGTTAAAGGATTCTGTCAGTATGTAATCTATTAAGAATTGCAAAAAAAATATTGACATTTACCTAATGACATTGTATAAAGATTATGCTCATTCTCTGCTGTATTGTTTTGTAAACAACGCAAGTGTTCACTGCTTGGATCATTTACTTACGTATTACTTTCTCTGTTTGAACCATTTAGCTTCTGAAGAAGAAAGATACGTTGTTCAAAAAAGTAATTCTTCTATCAAAAATTAATGCTGTTTACTTAAATTTAAATTTTACTTAAACTTTGCAATTATAGAATCTCACAATTCTTGGACAAGTGTACTCAAAAAATGAAAACATTTTTACTTCTCCTTGTAATTCAAAAAATTTTGGTATTTATTGGGTACAATATTGTGATACAGATATGATGTTTTTATCTTACGATGAATTGCAATCAAAGAAAATTAAATAAATACTTGATTAAAGAAAATGTAAGCATTTAAAAGGAATGATTTTGTTAAGGTTGTTAAGGAAAATGGTGCGGAGGCACCCAGATTGACTGGATAGCTTGTTGTGTATGTTCTGTTTGGGTACACAAAGACTGCACATTAAATGATGTCAGGCTTTTAATAAGAATAGATTTTATGCAAATGAGTTGATTAACATGAAACTTTGCATATTAACACCTTTTTATTAGTATTATTTTTTTATTCTTGTCATGTTTTTAAATTTAAATGAAAAAAAATCTGTCTCCATTTGCCCCAGATTTTGGAAAAAATGAGACAGGGTAGTTTGTATCATTTTGAATTGAATTATGTACTAATGCAACATTTTATTTATTTATTTATTTTTTTTATTTATTTGAGTTTTCATGCTATATTTTTCTATACAATGCTCTTATATCCGAAGATATTGTTGGCTTAGCATAGGAACAGCCACAAATAGTCATTAAGACTAATCCAAAGTAGCGTCCGTTATTGACCAGCATTTTTGCGTACCGAAGTACTACTCAAGCGCTGAGTTGGCGGTGACGGGAATTGAACTCGTATCGTTCAACAGTCCAGGTTTTAACTTTTCCTTTAACGCTCTAACCATCTGAGCTATCCCGCTATAAACCTATCGCCGTAAATCTTTAGGAGATTATTAGACACATTCACAATTGACCAGAGTGACCGCAAGTGTATGTTATTCCCCAGGCTTAATTTTCTTTTCTAATAGTCAAATATACATAAATTAACACCTTTTATGGTGAATAGAACATCTGGGGAGTCGGACAAAATAATAAAATTGTTGTGTTAAAATTAAGTTTTTTAAATCATAATAATGTTTATAAATTTCTGACAAAAGCCGCTGAAAATCCTCGAAATTGATAATTTATGTAAACAATAGACCTTTTCGCTAACTGGAACTTTAATTCGGCAAAAATTAGTTGCTGCAATGTTAAAGTTGCTGCAATTGCTGCAATGTAAAAGTTCATAAAAACTTCGAGCAACTGATAAAAAAAGCGTCGAGCTTTGTGCTAAATTGTATAACTGCATAACCCAAAAACTTCAAAACGCATAAAAAAATATGGTTAAAAATGTGAAATTATAGATGTGCACCTAATGCCACAACTGGAAAACCATCAGCTACGTTACTAATCAATAGAAATATCTAAAACAAGTTTTCTTCAATAACAATTGAAAAATTACCGTATGACAAAGAAGTGAGAGCACGTCAAGATAAAAAGTATAAAAAAGTAAAATAACATTTTGATATTAAACTTCATGCAAAGAAGAGAGATGACATTAAAGTAGGCGATCAAGTTCTTGTAAAACGCCATAAACCGGGATTAAAATTAGAATCTAAATATTTAAACAAAATATGTATAGTTAAAGAAAGGAATAAAAATTGAATCACTTTAGTCGATCAAAAAGGAAACGAGTTGGCGCGTAATTTACAATTTATAAAAAAACTCTTTAAATCTGAAGCTGAAAGTATACAACGTCAAACACCAGTATATAATAACAAAAGAAAAATAGCTAAAAGAAAACCGCATCCTAAGCAAATTAATAGACCTATAAAGTTTAACTATTAAAGATTTTAAACATGATTTATTTATTTAAGTAATAATAGAAGCTTTCCCAAACAGGGAGAACTGCTGAGAGTTGGTAACGAAATACATAACATTATGATTAGTATATATATATATATATATATATATATATATATATATATATATATATATATATATATATATATATATATATATATATAACAAATAAAATTAGAGTTAGTAGTTATATATTTGAAATAGAGAATATAACAGCGTTTTTTCAAATAAGAAGTGAATTACAACAAAAATCGCAATTTAAGTGAAGTAATTGTTTCTTGCACACCACAATTATAGGTATAAATATCAAAGTTTTAGATATTCTTTACAACCTGTTTGAACCTTAACTTTTGTTTGCCTCTTTAGCTTTAAGTTTGTTACATTTTTTGAGAATGTTTTTTCGGCCAGGCACTTTTTAAATTCCTCCAGGCTTTTGTTTTTTGTTGTAATATTTTTGCTGGATTTAAAAGAAAAATCGCTTTATTCTAAATATAGAGATATAAAATATCTGACGAAAATATCAATTTAGACATTTTTATTTAGACATTTATCAATTCAGTTCTAATGTTGAAATTTATAATTACTCGTTCAAAAGTTCAACATAAAAAAATAACAATAAACTTATTCTAAATATTGTTTACGAACTTTTTAAACTTCCATATTTTATTTGCAAAGCCTCGATTGCTTATGACGTTTTGAAACAATATTATTAGATAATTTTTGTTAAAAATGGATGTGATTAGTTAACTTTAAGTTATGATAGTTACGCGATGTTTAATAGGAAATTATGTTACAAATAAGACTGTTTCTTGAGAAATGACGTATTTTAACTTCGTTTTCGTTCCAGCAATTATATCTCTGCATATACATACAAATTTTTTTGAATAGACATCTAAGTTTATGCATGCATTAGGAAACTGAAAGTTTTGTTAATAACACTAACATGTTATTATAAAGCCTTTTTTTTCTTAATTCCTTATGTATTTATGTCAATAAAACAGAGCTAATAAATAGATTATAATATATGTATTATTAGGTAATATGATAAAATGCAAAAACTAAAAAACGTAGAATTTTATTGTTGATATCTTTCTTATTGGTCTTGTTATTATATACTTTTAGAAAATTTGGTTCCCTCTAAACTTTACTGGTTCTAGACAAAGGTAATTCTTGTTGTTTTAATTGTAGGAGTAATTTTTCATATTTTAAGGGCCAATAAAGTGGAGGGGCATAATTTTTAATTTTTAAATAAAGCCTCTATAGCAGAAATTAAAAATAAAAAAAAAAAAAAAACTTTTAGAAAAATCGTTAATGCCCCATTGGCCTTACCTGGTGTCGTCGGCCCTGGTTTTAGATGACTTTAGCAAACTGTATGAGACACGCAGCACATGTTTTATATAACCAGCCTGCAATTGTTTACACAATTTATCAGTTTCGCGGATTTTCAGCGGTTTTTGTCAAAAATTTATAAACATTTTACTGATTTAAAAAACTTAATTCTTAAACAACAATTTTTTTTTATTTGTCAAATCCTAGAAGTTCTAAACACCATTAATAGTGTTTACAAGGTATATCTAACTATTTGAAAAATAAATCAGACCTGGGGAACAACCTATCCAAGCGGTCAATCTGGTCTCCACATTGCATAATGTGCAACATTATATATAGATACAAAACAATATACAACATTATAAAAAGATATTCACTTAACAACTTTATTTTTTTTCTGTTTATATTAGTATTATATTAGATCAATTTGTGCAGTATTACATATTTATTATTAATATAAATTGTGATCAAATTATGTAATACAAAAAGTAATCTTAAAATTATATTTAAGAATAATTTATCACCAATGTCTGAGCACCCTTCGGGAATTTTTGAACGTTCTTTACGTAAGAATGCTCAGAAGACGTTAAAAAGACATTTAAAATACAATAAGAACGTAAATTTAAAAAAAGAAATGCATGCTGGGTTCTTATAGTCACGTAAAGTGCACTTATTATATTTTTACAAGCATTCTATTGCAAGTAGTTTTGATGTTCAAAATAGATTTTTTACTGCAAAAAGCAGTAATACATAATACTAAGAAAAATAAGTACTACTTATACTTATATAAATACTACTTATACTTTGATACTACAAAAAACTATAATACATAATACTTAGAGAGCAGTTTTTAACTTGAATGTTTTTAAATTTGTTAAACACTTTATAACGCATCAATTAACAATAGTATTAACATCTTATCTAGTGGATTAATTTTTTTTATAGTAGTTATCATTGTCTTTTTAGACACACAAACTTATTTTGTTACTAATTTAATCAAACGTTTAGCTTTTTCAGTTTTCGTTCCATCAAGTAATCTTTTTACATGGCAGAAGATAACGGGAAAGCCAGGGTGACCTTTTTTTATGTTAAAAACTTCTGAAAGAGTTTCAAAATTGACGGCGGTATCTCTATCCCCTCTACCTTTCTTTTGTCGGCTTTTTTTTTGTGTGTAATTTTTTTTCGTTATATTTCCATTTGAACGTGAGATCTTCTGGAGTTTAACTTATACCTAAACCATTTGTGGTTTAAGCTGATTTTGATGAATCAAGTTGATGATTGATTTTGTTTTTTTTTTTGTTTCCGTTATAATGTTTCATAATAGTTTCAACAATCGCCTTTTTTTGTACTTTTGCAATTATTATTTATAAAAATTTTCTATTTTTTAATTTCGATTTACAGACACAGATTAAATGTAGGCATTCACAAAAAAACTAATCAAGTTTGTACGATTTAAAAAAATTTAAAGATTGACTAAATAATTTTTAAAAAATTTCAATTTAAAATTTTACTGAATTTAATCAATAACAGTGATATTAAAAAAAAGTATATTTATAAAAAGTCAAAAAACATAACTAAATTAAATATTGCCTAATATATACCTTTATGTAGATAATAATTTAAATACGACAAAGTAGTAGGCAACAGCAGTATTTATGATAAAAAAATGTGAATCTTGAAATTGCATGCAAAGCAACTCATGTGATTTTGTTAAAAGAGAAAGTGATTTCTGTTTAAAAAAGGATAAAAGCTTCAAGCTCTCCTCCATCATAAAAGTTTGTTTACATTTTAGCTTATGTTGTTTCACAATCTAAGTTAAAAACACTTTATTTACACTTCTCCATTAGTTTTCAAATAATTTTATTTTTTTATAATTTTTCCTTTCTCTTCAAAAATCATTTTACTCTGTCTTTATTTTCATTCATTATTATCTCTAAGAATACTAAGATAAAAAATTTGTAATAAAATACATATTAACTTCTATAATAATTTCTAACAAAAATAAAACATTTAATGGTTGCTATAAAAACTCTAACAGTTTCTTTAAAGTTTCTTTAAAGTTTCTTTAAAGTTTCTTTAAAGTTTCTATAAAGTTTCTTTAAAGTTTCTTTAAAGTTTCTTTAAAGTTTCTTTAAAGTTTCTTAAAGATTCTTTAAAGTTTCTTAAAGTTTCTTTAAAGTTTCTTTAAACTTTCTTAAAGTTTCTTTAAACTTTCTTAAAGTTTCTTTAAACTTTATTAAAGTTTCTTTAAACTTTATTAAAGTTTCTTTAAACTTTATTAAATTTTTTTTAAACTTTATTAAAGTTTCTTTAAACTTTATTAAAATTTAAAGAAACTTTAAGAAAGTTTAAAGAAACTTTAAGAAAGTTCTTTAAACTTTCTTAAAGTTTTTTAAACTTTCTTAAAGTTTTTTTAAACTTTCTTAAAGTTTTTTTAAACTTTCTTAAAGTTTCTAGAAACTTCTATTGTTTTATATAACACTACTTATTTGAGGTCACAGAATTGTTAACATATATGAAAATTAGCATGTCATAAAAAGCATTCCGTGTTTAAATTGGGTTTGGAAAGTTTTAATAGAAGATACATATTCAAAAACTGTTTTCAAATTTTTATGATTTTTAAAAAACTTATTTTGAAAATTAAATGTCAAGATTTTAGCCTTTTTTTTTCTTAGCAGTGGGTCGATCTTTATTTAAATAGTATAAAAATTTTTCAAATTAAGTTTAAAAAATATATATTATTTACTCATTGTAGACTATTTAAAACAATATTATATAAGCAAACAAGACTCAGGCTCAGAGGCTCAACGACTTTTTTTCTCTGAAAAAAAATGGCTATTTTATTTGCAGGTAATTTTAAACAAACATTTTCATAAACAAATTAGTTCGTATAATGTAAATATTATCTGAATAAAAACTTTATTTTGCATAAAAATATACTCGAATTGTTAGCTCAAAACATTTTTACTGTTTGCGCGACTTTAAATTTTGCTCAAATTTTAAAAACAACGATAATGTTTTTAGTTGTTTATAAAAAATATCATTTTGTTAATGATTAACAACTGTTTTTTTATTTTTGCTGTTAAAATAAAGCAAAATATCAAACAGAAAACTAAACTAGTTTGAATTTTTTTTTTTTTCTCTGAGGATTTTAAAGTGCTCCTTAAAATCCACAGAAAAAAAAAAGTGGATTTTAAGTTCTTATGCCATTATCATAGCACCACAAAAACGCATTAAATAATTATAATATATTATCTGAGAACGGACACATAAAAATACGGGTCCTTATAAATCTATTTCAAAACGAACTTATTTATACTTTTTCTTAACATATCCCAGCTTTCTGGATCCGTATAATACGGGTCTTTACCAAACCTACTATTTCTATACATATCTATTCCACACAGATTCCTTATATGCCTATTTCTTATTTACTTTAAAATAACTTTAGTGAAATAATTTCATTCTGAAAAAAATTTTAGGAGCAAAAAAATTAGCATGCGTAAAAAACACACATAAAAATATCTTTTTCCGCGTAGGTAAAGTTTGTAAAAGACTTATAACTAGGTTTGTTTTTCTGCTATTTGCATTTCATTGATAGCTCAGTGGTTAAAGGTGTAATGCAAATGCGTAAGCGAACGTTGAAAATCTTAAGATCGCGCTTCAAAAAGTCAAGCTTAAAAAACTTAAAAAGCATTGATTTAAAGACGAATTCGGGAAAAAAAAACTTTGCAACCAATAGCGGCAGAGTATTTTAAAAGAGAAAACATTTTAAATAAAGCAAAATAAAGTATATATTTTTAAATAATATTATATCTTAGCTTTATACCTTAAATTATTAATTTAAAAAAATAAATTAAAAAGTGTTACGAAAATAATAAATTTATTTTTGGTATTTTTGTTAAGACTTGGTCTTTATTAAAAAACACTGGATTAAAATGAACATGCTCGTGCACCTTCTTTTTAGGTCTAGTTCTTCATTAATCAGCTGTTACGCCTCTACGGCGTAAAGGCTGATTAACGACCTAACAGCTGAATAACTACGACGTAACAGCTGATTAACATTCAAATGGCATAAATGCTATGCGGTTATCAGCAAGCATATATGTCGAACACAATGTTTTTGTTATTCAATTTTCTTGTTAAAACTTTTATTAAAAAGAAATGAAACTTTTACAAGGCTGCAAGCAAACACTAATTACGTTTGAAGTTAACAGAAAACAAATTAAAAATATGACAACAGTTTTCAATACCTTGACCAGGCGCGGATCTAGGGTATAGCCATTGTGGCTATGTCTACAACTTAAAATAATCAAAGAAACAAATATAATATAATACTCCAACATATTTTAAAGTAAAAGTAATATAAATAATTAAGATAAGTTTATTTTTATTTGCTGTGCAAAATCGGCTTTAAAAGCGATAAAAAAAACCGGAATTAAAAAAAGATCGGCCATTGCAGATCGGTTTGTGGCTAAGCCACAAGCGACCTGATTTTCCGGCATAGGCTGACTAAATTATTGCTTTTTTGAACGTAATATATTTTTATTAAAAAGCCAAATGCCGTCAACACTCGTAGCCTGTTTTGCTTAGCCTAGATTGCTTTTTATCTTGTGGCTGTACTTATTAGATAGTCTTTTTATGCCCAGCTATTTTCAAATTAACCAAGCGCCTTTATTATTATCTTAGTAAGTTGGTTATTATGCGGATATGTTTTGAAAAAATACTGTTGCAAATGCTATTGATACTTCTCACATTCATAACATAAAATGTTGCAAAAAAAATTTGTTTACAAAACCAAATGGTTTAAATACCTCACCAGTTTAGTTTCATCGTTAAATTTTTGGCTTGAAAATGCTCTGTTACAAATGTTTTCATACCATATTTTAAAATGGATCAAGGTTTTGTAGCTTTAAGGTATATTTTTTAACTATATTTTCGCGAACTATATTTGTTATAAAATTAACATTTTTTTTATAACTGTAACAATGTTTACTTATATACAACTGTTTCTGTTTTTATTGTTATAAAATTCTTATAACATATGACTAAAACATTCTTATTTTATTATTGAACAGGTTAATACTATTAATAATAGACAGTTAATACTATTAATATTAAACAATAATAGACAGGTTAGTACTAATAATATTTAACAAGTTAATACTATTAATAACAGTTTTGCCACAAAGCTATATAAACAATTTTTATTGTTTTTTTCTATAAATGTAAATAATTGAAATATTACATTTTTATTTTTTTAAAAAAAGTTTTAATCTTCAAATTGAAACTATATTAAAGCCTTAATTTGAAGCTCTCTCTTTTATTAAAGCCTTTAAATAAATTGGATCTTATAAGGTGATTCTATTGTCATTAGAATCAACTATAATACAATATAGGAGACTCTTCTATAATATTAAAGAGTTCTCAAAAAAAAATTGAAGGAAATATTTTTGAACTTCTTAATTTTGCAATTATTGCAGGTGGCACTATCTTATAAAATCATTTAATATCAGCCCCTAAAAATGACACATATTTCTTCAATCCCCCAAAATCGACTTATGGTTTCAGAATCTTGAAAATGACAATTAAAAAAACACACTTCAAGAAATTAATCTTAGTATTGATTTATATCACTACAACTGGTTCAATATTGCTTTTGAAGTAGCTATGACTTTAAATGTAAAAGAAAACAAAAAACTAGAAAATGTGAAAAGCAAATCAATCGTGATAATCACTCATCATCTGATTATTTTAAGCTTTTTATCACTTTTCTCTGCTGGACCATCTTATTAATGATCTTATTAATTTTATAAGATTTCAAACGGAAAGCATGTTGGTTTATATGGAATGTTTGCAGTTCCAACCGCCATGTTAAGTTACCTGAAAACTAACTAAGATTGGCAAATCTACTTTTTGTGTTTTGAATTTCTGGGTATCTATCATTGCTATCGATTTTTTTTTTTTTTTTTTTTTTGTTCTTTATTACAATATTTATGATACAGATACAAATAATATAAAAAATAAAAAAGAAAAGGTAACAAGTCAAGATATCGTTAAGAATAATATAATAATATAAAGAATATTAATAAATATAAAAAACGCGGATACTCAAAGAAGACCATCAGGTCTTGTCACAGAGAAACCGCTTTTGAACGTTTTTTTTTTTTTTTTTTTTTTTAATTTTGTTTATTTTTTTTTTTTTTTATTATTATTACTATTTTTTTTTTTTTCAATGTTTTCATTCTTTGTATTTATTTATTTTTGTTCAGTTTCTTTTTATTACAAAATTAAATTTATTAATAAAAGTATATAAAGTTTGTAATATAATATTATAAATAAACATACAATATTACAATAGAAGAGTTCTAAAACTTATAAACTAAAACATGTTAAATAATTCACTAAAATAAAACATGTTAAATAATTGGTTGTTGATAAAAAAATAAAAAAATAAAAAAGAATGTACATTAAATATATTCATATACTAATATAGACTAGTGATTTTCAAAAATTTAAAAGTAGATTAGTATATTTTCAGTTGAAAAAATGAGTTTTTTAAGATTTTGTTTAAAAGAATCAAAATTACATTCTTGAGAAAAAATCTTTAGAAGTATTTAGAACTATACTATTCCATAAAAATGGTCCGCGAAATGAAATAAAAAATTTTCCAAAATTAGTTTGAGAAAATGGTTGTCGAATTAAGTTATCGTTCCTTAGAATATATTTATTTCTACCTCTTTGTAAATACAAGTTA